CCTGGTTGAACGGGAAAGGTACAACAGGCTACTTTTAGATCAGACTGTTTGACACTTACATAAACAGCAAAAGGAAGAGTGGCTCAAGGTGCCAGCTCCTATGGTCTTTGTCCCATACACCAAAGGACAACACCAAAACTAAAAGGGCCAGCTGACTGTAAGGCAAGCCATGAGATGCCCTTTCGAGGAGCTCATTCTTAGCTTCAGCTAAGGGATTTAGTATTCTGTGGCTCAATTCTAAGGGAGCCAGGGCAGAAATCCCTAATCTCATCAGAACCTGGAAGGCATAAGCAATCATCTCATAATAGCCTTCCAGGGAAGATAGGAATGTGAATGGGAGATGGCATACAGTCACCATCCTCTCGTGTTAAGGTATCTTTAAATAGAAACACACAGAAAACAAGGTTACGTATTTGTTGGTTGACAAAAATGACCAGAAGCTCATAGGAACCTAACCCTGTATTTCCCTTAAGAGCAATAATTCAGTGTTTCACTTATTCAGCATTCACAGCAACTTTATAGAACATAACTACCATGAAGAATGAGAACTGGCTACGTTATTATGAATACAGGAATGTAGTTTGGGCTTCACACAGCCCCAAAAGGGCCCCAAGGACTCCCCCTCCCTCTTTCGAGGTTCCCAGAACACACTTCGGTAACTACAGCTAGTAGACTATAAACCAAGGCTGACTAAGAGTCAGCCATAGCTGTTTTGTTCCTCTTCACATTTCCAGAGTCTTGCATAGTGCCAGGCATATCAAGTTAAAATGAGCTGGGGGTAAGATTTTTATGAGGAAATTAAACTTGAGAGAGGAGAGACAAAATAGTCCATTTTGTGCTAAAGGTCAGTTTGGCCTTGTTTTTTTTTTTTTAACAACAGGGCTCACTCTGTTGCCCAGGCTGGAGTGCAGTGGCACAATCTTGGCTCACCACAACCTCTCCCTTCAGGCCTCAAGTGAACCTCCTGCCTCAGCCTCCTGAGTAGTGTGTCACCACATCTAGCTAAGCTTTTGTATTTTTTGTAGAGATGGGGGTCTCACTATGTTGCTCAGGCTGGTCTCGAACTCCTGGGCTCAAGCAGTCCACCTGCTTTGACCTCCCAAATGGCTAGGATTACAGGCATCCACCACCACACCCAGCATAACATACACACCTTAATTTAGTATTTATTTATTTATTGAGACAGAGTTTCTGTCACCCAGGCTGGACAAGGCAAAGCTAGTGATTAAATTTGTCTTGATCTCAAAAATCCAGGACGTAGTGGCTCACACCTGTAATCCCAGCACTTTGGGAGGCTGAGGTGGATGGAACACCTGAGATCAGGAGTAAAAAAATAAATAAATAAAAGAAGAAGAATTCCCTTCCCGCCTACCCCTGAGAACTACTTTGAAATATTCCGAGAGACCTTTAAGTACATCCTGGCTGGAACATATTCTGAGGGCTGAAGACAGTACAGTGTGGGGCTGTGAAGTGTTTTATGTTCTGTTCCACAAATACTTTCCATCTGAGTCAGTTTATGACCTTCCCCTTTTGACTCGCCAGCACTGACTTGAGAGAGAATTAATTACCATATTTGCCTTTCAGCAGCAATATGATGACATATCAGGGATCCCCTGGGTCATGGCTGTAGAGGTCCCTTTTTCCTCTCTATATAGTTTCTGGGTTTATTTTGCATATTCGCAACCTGGTGGGTCCCCAAGAAGCCATTTCTTACTTGTGTGTAATGCTTCTACAAGCCTCAAAGTAGCTTCTGAGTCTGGTTTAGCTCTTTAAGGATGCTGCCAGTAAAAGGAAAACTAGGTGGGTGGAGTGAACAAAGGATGATTCTGGTAAGGATACGCAGTCTGCAGAAGAAAAGTGGATGGTCTTCGTAGCTTTCTCACTGAATCATTACATATCCTTCTACCTTTAGTAAATGGAGTAAAACATAGGCAAATTTGTGAATTAGTATAATAAGCTGGTGTTGGGATCCTAGATAGAAATAATAATTGGAGAAACAAAAGGATATGGAGCCTGGACTGGAAGAGGTGGCTCATCCCTGTAATCATAACACTTTGAGAGGCCGAGGCTGGGGGACTGCCTGAGGCAGGAGTTTAAGACCAACCTTGGCAACATAGCAAGACCCCAGGTACAAAAAATTTTAAAAGGAGGCTGAGGCAGGAGGATGACTTGAGCCCAGGAGATAGAGGATGTAGTAAGCTATGATCAAACCACTGCACTCCAGCCTGAGTGACAGAGCAAGATCCTGTCCCTAAAAGACAAAGATATGAAACCTGAAGATTTAGTACAGTGATGCATCGTACTGATATTAAGTACTCTGAATCTCTGCTTTGCAATCTCTAAAATAGAGAAGACGATAATTCTTACCTTCCTAGTTGATATGAATTACATATACATGAACTTGAAGGTATAAAGCACTGACCAAGAGATAGTAACAGAATGGTTATACATAGTGAACAATTCAAAGAGCCAGGAATGGAACCTGACAAAAGATCACTTCGGTGTTTCAATGGAGGGTACCTGGGTAGCAGAAGGCCAGAGGTCACGTTAGCATCAAGGAAGATTCACACACTTAATTAAGGCAATCGAAGGCCAGTCAATACCAAACACCACTGATAAATCAAGAAATAATTTTACACATATTATCCAGAACATGTGGACCCAGGACCAGCAGCATCAAGCATCACTCGGAAACCTACTAAAAATGCAAATTATTGAACCCCAGCCTTATCCTCACCTCAAAACCACTGAATCTGAAACTCTGGGGATGGGGCCCAGAAATATGTTTTAACAAGCTCTCTGGTTGATTGTGATGGATACTTATGTTTGAGAAGCACTGATTTAGAAAAGGGAGGTAAATATGATAAGAATAGCTTAAGGAGATGGAAGGGGCTACCTCTAGGAAGCCGGACTGGGAGGTGAAGGATGGGGAACGCTGTTCGTTAGATAAAAGCTTCTTATTCTATTTGATGTCATAACTCTGCACATGAATTACTTGAAAAATTAGAAGTTATTTGTGAAAATAAATAAACTGGGACTTCTGAAATGTCTGTGGCAAGAGCCTGGCCTGGGCCCCTAAGATGGAAACAGGAAGCAAGTGATAAAATACGGGAGCCGAAACAGCACAGTTGCTGCTGTGTAAATCCCAGCTCCTAGGGGATGGCTTTGCCTTCCTGAAGGCTCAACTGCTTCCTTCTCTGTCCCTGCAGAGGGCTGCAGACCCCCTCCCCCAGGGAGACAGACCAGGAGTCCAACCCAAATAAAGGAACAGTTTGGCTTGAAGTTGCTAGCCTTCCTGTCACTTTCCCACCCATTCAAAAGCAAACTCCTGCCCCCTCTATCCCCACCCACCCACTCACCCACCACCACCCTTCCTGATCTTCCTTCCTCTTTCCCCTTCCTCCCCCTCCCACCCGGCTTATGAAAAATGTCTGTTGGCTTCCACTGACCGATAGAAGCTGTTAAGAAGCGTCTCACAGGCCCAGGATGCCCTTCCCCGCCCTCTCCACGACAGACCAGTTGCACAGAGAGTTTGTATTCTGTTCGAGGTTCCAAATAGTTGAGTGTAACGATATCATTTGTCACTGAGAAGAGAAAAAGTCCAGGAAACTTAAGTTGACATTCTCTTACATTCTTAAACTGGGGTTGTTGTTATTGCGATGTGAACTGATTTTAGGTTTTCGAAACTATGTCTTAGTGAAACAGAGAGGCGATTCCATCTTCAAGGCTTCAACCTTCCTAAAATGAGGAAAATTTGGCTTTTGAAGTGTTTCCAGGTTACATTAAAGCATGTATTTCTGTGACACTTAGACATTTCTGCTCTGGTACTTTTGTCTTTTCATTTGTGACATAAAACCTCACAAATCTATATGGAATACCAGATTTAGGGGGAAAACTCAATTAGAATAAAATAATTTAATTGCTACTGTTTTCAAGTATATACACTGATTGCAATCAAGCTATCGAGAGAAAAAGATGCTTAGGAGGTTTGCTCAAAGTGACCAGAAGCTGATTTGTAATGGTCACACCATCACAATGAAGCATTCTGAGGTCCTTGAAAATAGGACCCATAAACAAATGGCATCTGCCTCTTCTCTCCTTATTTGCTGTAGTCAGCCTCTGTTTCTCCATGGATATTGCAAAGATAAATTTCTGCCTTACCATATGATAAATTCCTACTTGATAAGAAAAAAACTGGGATGTATTTACCAGTTCTTAGAAGACCACTTTGTGGATGTCTACTTGTAGAAAAAGTTGGTGGATTATTACCACCATGTGACACCATAAAAGACCTAGCCGTTGATGTTGTAAACAGCAGTTCAGCAAATCAGCCTGACATCCCTGGAATTCTGAATTTTTATAGAATCTACAATAGTATGCGAAGGACTAAGTAATACCATTTTATTCAGGCTACCCCACCCAGTCAGCTAGTGTTGTTATTCAGCCCCAAATCCTCCTCCTCTTCTCCTTTTTTGTAGTTTTCTTATCTCCATATATGATTTCTTTTAAAGAAATCATAGGCATAGTAAGCCAAAGGCATGGGTGGAGGAGTCCATGCTGCCTACAAGCAGGTGAGTGGCAGATCTTTTTACTGGATGGTCCAACTGAAGCAGCACAGTCACTGATAATACTGTCTTTGCTTTTTAAAATTGTGATTTTACATTATCATGCAACAAATAGAATTGTAATTTGTGTTTCAAAATAAATTCAACTGTTTTCATGAACTTTTGGCACTTCATCACATTTTGTTCAATTATTTTTTCTTTCAGGAAGTTAGGGGAGGGGCCTGTAGCTCTCTTTGCCTGTACTCGCCCTTCCCCCAGCGCATTCCAGTTTGCCGCAGCCCAAACTTTGCAGGTTTAAAATCCTTTAAAAACCTCTCTGTGTTGAGTCTGCAGGACAGGGCAAGACATGAAATAAGAAAAGGAATAAACAATTCAATACGGCAGCAATACCTGCACTCTCTCCTGAATATTCTGAAATGGAATCCTCTACAACAGCCAACACCTCGGTGCAGAGGATGGAAGCAGGGAGAAGGGAATTTCTAGATTTGGACAAAAGTTATTCTGCTGGTGCCACATCCCCAGCTGGCATCTATCCTGTCCGAAGCTTACCTTGAATATGTTGCCAAGCCTTGTTGTGATTAACAGGTTTGTACAGAAGCTTCTTGGATCGGATTGGTCCATCCCCAAAGAAAGGCCCAGAGCTGACGTTGATGACAGCAAAGTTATGTCCAGTGTCGATCACATTTGGTGCATTCAGGGGCTCTGGAGGAACTAAATACAATTTCAGAAGTCAGATTAGTCCTTTGGCTCGGAGGTTTTATGATTGTTCTTAGGTGGAGGTAGAAGATGTGTTTTACATGCCCAACAAAGTCCTCTTAAAGTTTTCTGCTCAGATTCAGTGAGATCACCTGCTCTCTAAGCTCTCTGCTTTGTTTTGCTTCCCCAGCCCATTATCCTCAAAGTGCTTTCTTAAAATAGATGTGCCCCTTTGCTCAAGACCCTGCAGTGGATTCTCATTACATGTAGGATAAAACCAAAAATTTATACCATGACCAGCCAGGCCTTGAGCGACTGAGCCCCTGCCCACTCTCCAACCTCCTCTTCCTCTCACCTAGTATCCTCCAGTCCTCAATGACCTTTCACTTCATCCAACTAACAAAGCACAAACCTCCTTTCTTTAGATTCTTTGTGGATGTCACTCTTCTTCGAGGAATGCTCCAGCTCCCATTATTCCCCCAGTTAAATCTTAGCTCTGATATGAATATTTCACACGCGGCTATTCTAGAATCTCAATTAAGATATCCTGTGCTTTCACAGAACCTCTATTTTTTTGTTTATGGTGATTTTTTAGAGTTTATTATTCTTTGTAGTATGATTATTTGATATAGGTCTTTCTTCTAGATCATAATTCATTCTCTCTTTCAGCCAAACACCACAAATTAATTATAGTTCTAGAAGTCAGAAGTTGGACATGGGTCTCACTGTGCTAAAATTAAGGCGTTAGCAAGGCTGTGTTCCTTTCGGGAGGCTTAGGAGAATCTGTTTCCTTGTTCTTTCGAGCTTCTAGAAACGGCCTGCATTCCTTGGCTCAAGGCTCTTTCCTATGCCTTCAAACTCAACAACATCAGGCCTCTCTGATTCTTCTTTGACCACCACATCTCTCACTACTGTCAGGAAAGTTTCTCTGCTTTTAATGATTCAAGGGATTGGAGTAGGTCCACTCAGATCATCTAAAGCAATCTCCCCATCTCAAAGACCATGTATTCTCACTGGGGGTGACGGTGCCCCAAAACAATGAAAACTGGTTCTTGGGGGATGCAAAAATTTTAGAGATCATAATGGGTTGCAGCTCTCCAAAGAGCCATAGTACACAGAGATATCTAGTACATTTGTGATAATAAAGTTTTATGATGATGAGGGAGAGCTCTGGAATAAAATTTCTAAAAGGCTCCTTAGTGGGATGATAATTAAAAGGTTATGAAACACCACACTACACTGTCAATTCCATCAGGGCAAAGACCCTATAGTTTGTTCACCAGTACCGACCAGGTGCTGAATTATTGTTTGTCAACTCAATTTCCAAAGAGCTCTATAGCTCCCTTGGCCCCGCCTTCTTGGAAATGCATAACTGGTTTTGTTTTTCTTCCCTAAGAGTGTGTGTTATACAATGCAGAACCTTTCAGATTTCAGAGGACATGGCAATGTTCAGTAATTTTTCTTTTTCTTTCTGTCTCAATGCTTTGGCTCACCTTCCTTAGAAATGACCTTCAAGTCTTTGCTCAAATATCTTCTCAGGAAGGCCTGACTACCCTATTTTAAATTACAGTCACCACTCCAGCGCTGCCCCAGCATTCTCTACCCCTATGTAAGCTTTAGTTTTCCCCAAGACACTCAGCATTTTAGTGAACTGTACATTTTACTGGTTTGCTCACTGTTTATCTCCCTGTGGGAATGTGAGCTCCATGATGAGTTTTTTTCCCCCTGTATTATTCACTGCTCTATTCCCAGTGCCTCGAACAGGGGCTGAAACATAATAGGCCTAAAGTAAATTCTATTGACTAAGTGAAGGCTTAGGAAGTTGTCCAAGGTCAAGGTAATAAAGCCAGTTAAGACAGTATCCCCTAACTGCAGGCAGATTGTGCCAATGTTAAGTTAGATAAGCCTGAGTACACATTTTACTTAGGTTAGAAAGGAGGGCAGTTCTGTGAGTAAATTTGTTCAAGTAATGTTTTTCTTGTGTGATAAAATAAGGCCACCCCTTTCTTTAAAGCAGCAGATGCACTTCTTTTCCCCCAAGACAGAGTCGTGCTCTGTCACCCAGTCCCAAGTGTAATGGCATGATCTCTGCTCACTGCAACCTCCGCCTCCTGGAGTCAGGCTATTCTCCTGCCTCAGCTTCCTGAGAGGCTGGGATTACAGGCACGTGCCACCATGCCCGGCTAATTTTTGCATTCTTAGCAGAGATGGGGGTTTCACCATGTTGGCCAAGCTGGTCTCAAACTCTTGACCTCATGATCTGCCCACCTCGGCCTCCCAAAGTGCTGGGATTACAGGCATGAGCCACCACACCCGGTCCAAGATGCACATTTTATAACAGCCATTAATGCCAGTTTCTAAAACTTTTACAAGGGCTTAAAAATTGCTACAAAAATAAATAAATAAATAAAATAAAAAATATATAAATAAAAATTGCTATAAAAATAGATAAATAAATAAAAATTGCTACAAGCCTTCCTCTTAGTAATCTTTTTGTTTTTTGCGTATTAATCTTTTTTACTGAGATAGAATATACATATTACAAAGTGCAGAAATCTTAAGTGTATTTAGGTCAAGAGACTTTACCTATGTGGACACCCATGTAACCACAACTCAGATTAAGATAAAGAATATTCTCAGCCCCCAGAAGGCAACTCTGCGCCCCTTTCCTTTCAATATCCTCTATCCAGAGGTAGCTATTTTTGCCTTCTGTCACTGAAGATTAGTATTGCCTATTCTTTAGTTTCATATAAATGGAATCATAAAGCATGTACTTTCTTTCACTTATTATCATGTTTGCAAGGTTCATCCATATGGTTGAAGGAATTAATTCTTTTTTATTGCTGTTTAATATTCCTCTGCATGATTTTATGGGCTGAATTGCTTTCCCTGGAAATCACATGTTAAAGTCTTAACCCCTAGTACCTCAGGATGTAACCATGTCTGGAGGTAAGGCCTTTAAAGGAGTAATTAATTTGAAGTAAGTTTATTAAGGTGTGTCGTAATCCAGTATGACGGGTGTCCTTATAAGAAGATTAAATTAGGACACAGGTACAAAGACAAGACCTTACCTGTGTCCTAATTTAATCTCCCTGTGTCTTCGCAGGGAGACAATGGCCATCTACAAGCCAAGGAGAGAAGTCTCAGAAGAAATAAACTCTGTTGACACCTTGATCTTGGACTTGTAGCCTCAAGAATTATGAGAAAATAAATTTCTGTTGCTTCAGCCACCCAGCCTGTAGTACTTTGTTATGGCAGCCTTAGCAACTAACACATACGAATATGCTACAATTTATATATCCTTTCCAATGTTGATGGACACTTGAGCTAATTTCAGTTTGGGGCTACTTTGAATACAGCTGCTCTGAACATTCTTGAAGATGTCTTCTTTGAACATATATAGTCATTCTTTTTGGCATGTATCTAGGAGTGGAATTGCTGATTTACAGGGTTTAATATATGTTTAGGTTTAGTACATGTTGCCAGTTTTCCAAAGTGATTGTACCAATCTCTACACTGGTGGTAAAGTCTCGTATCTGTTTTTTTAAATACTATAATAAAAGATGCTGATTAAATTCATTAAATTCCCTAATGGCTATTTACATTTTATGGCTGTCAGTCAATGTGACAGCAAAGAGAAAGCAGTGACTTAGGACTGGAGACGCTTCTACACATTGATATGGTGTGCTGTGTCTTTCAACTAAAATCTAGACCAGTGACTCTTCTGTGTGTTCACCACGTGGTTTGTTTTGGACTTATGTCCAAGTGTAGCAAACATTCCAAGAAGCTTAAAACTAGAGTAATTTTTCTTGTCTGCATATCATTTCCTTTCTTCCAAGAACATGTAAGATGCGAGAAATTATTTTGATCATGTGGATGTTGTACTTAATAAAACAGATTTGGGCTTTTTCCTGTAACCAAAAGTGATAATAAGAAGGATTCTAATTAAACTCCAGAGCTTCTGCACAGCAAAAGAAACAACCATAAGAGTGAACTGGCAACGAACAGAATGGGAAAAAAATTTTGCAATCTATCCATCTGAAAAAGGGCTAATATCCAGAATCTACAAAGAACTAAAGCAGATTTACAAGAAAAAAAAACAAACCCATTCAAAAGTGGGCAAAGGATATGAAAAGACACTTTTCAAAAGAAGATATATATGAGGCCAAAAAACATATGAAAAAATGCTCATCATCACTGGTCATTAGAGAAATGCAAATCAAAACCACATTGAGATACCATCTCACACCAGTTAGAATGGCGATCATCAAAAAATCTGGAGACAACAGATTTGACCACTGGTCAAGCTGATTTTGTTCATCTTTGACGGAAAAAAGGATGATAACTATTTCTAAATCTTTAGATTAAAAAATACACCAATATCCTAAGGATCACTTGTAACACAAGAGAAATTTGGGGGGTTCCTCTCTCTGCTGCTTTTGGTATAGTTGGGAGAGAGAAGAAAAGCATGTTTGAAAAGTAGCTTGATCCTTTTAAACAAAAAAGAACTGCTGTGATATTACCCTAACCTGTGGTGAGCATCAACAATGAGGGCTGGGGGAATAGGTGGGGAGAAACCCAAGGACTGCATTCAGATCTAATGGATTATAGTTTCAGAACTGGAGATGTGGGAGCAGATTCAAGACCTGTCTGTGTAGAGTCTAATGGATCAGGCTGAACTCTCCTCTGCTATGCTCTCCTAATTGTTGCTCCAAAGAGCATTATAGGAGTAGACCAGTCATCCAAACTCCATGTCCTGGTTGCACCTGGTAACACATAAATCTGCTGATTCATTGATTGTAACACCACCTTACTCTTCCTGATAGGAGTAGTTACAAGTATGGGGACAGTGAGAACAAAGCTTTGCACAGACTGACATGTACTTCTTCCCATACTGGCTGGACAGTTCTGCAGGATGTGTGCCATCCTTGGCACTCAGCTCTGTCAGTTCCACTGGGGCATACTCCCAACCTTGCACTGCAGTACTGGTCAACAGAGGAAATCAGTGAGGCTGCAGTGAGTCAGTTCAGCCTCTCCAGGGAAAGGGTATTTTATCAAAGCCAACAACATACTAGCCTAGGAGGATGAAAGCACTGAATGAAATCCATTGTTTAGCGGGGTGATTATTACACTGAAAGCATCTCATGGTTTGAGGAGGGCAGATTAAGAATGGCTCTTACATAGAGCACTGTCCCATCCGGCTTCACCAGCGTTATTTCTTCATTAGTAGGTAGCAGCCAGCCAGAAGCTTTGCAAATGGGGTTAAATTTACCACTGTTTACTTCTGTATTATCTGGCAAATCCACTATTCTTGGGGTCATCCTTGGTATACCTGAAGGAAGAAAACAGCACTGTGAAATCTTAACATATAACAGAGCCAGCAGCAGTAGTAATAATAAAAATGGCTACTTTAGTAAGTCATGCACTGGGCAAGAATTTTGCAAATACTTTATTTGTCATCACATAAGACATTGTGGATGCTATTGTGATCTCCATTTTGTGGATGAGGAGACAGAGGTTCAGGAGCCCAGATTCAGATTCAGATCTTTATAATCCTAGAGTCCACACTCTTCACCAGAAGGCTGTGCTCCTCACATGGACCAGGGAGGAATAGTCTCAATATTAAAATGATTATCATGGCCGTATCTCCCCTAGACTTTGCTGTTCGGTCCCCCTTTCTTTTTACATGAATGATTAGAAAAACAAAACAAACAAAAAACTAGTTCTTCTTCCACTCAGCAAATAACCCCATGGTATTGCTGATCAATAGCACCGTCCTCAGTTTAGACATATGAGAGATGTCTCATTCACTGGGAAGTCTGCAAATAGCAGATAAATAAGAGGAAAAGGGTGAATAAAGTTGTTCACCAAAGAAATACATCAAATAAGTGGAATATAACTTTCCCAAGTCAACATCTACTCAACAGCCAAATCAGAACTGCGGCCGCCAATACTGAAAGAAGGAAAAGTGTCTGTGGTGTCAACAAAGGTAATGGTGTCACAATTTCTTGCCTAATATCTACATAGTAGAGGATGAATAACCCGGAAATATACCAATTTTATTCTAAACCATATGGTCTTAGAAAACCTTGGACCATTTGTAATCGAATGTGAGACATGTATGAAAATTTTCCAACACTCAGTAAACAATGTAGGTGATAGAGGTGCCCTCAGAGCAGCAGTAACTACAGACTGTTCCTTACCAGTGGTGGGAAGAAGCGGGGTCAATAATGACATTTTATACTGATATCCTACTTCTCAGGCCTTGAATAAAATGGGTAAAGGTGTGAAGGAGAAGGGAAAGAGTGCCAATAATTACAAGGTTATTCCTTGATATATCTGTAAACTTGGAAAGATTATGGAAATATGCCAAATTTTAAGCCTAAGTAGCTATTTGAATAGGAATTGAAAAACATCTTTTGACACTTTTAAAGCATTTCTTTCCTTCATCGTCCCCTTGTATTTTCTGAAGTCGGGTGGAGGTGAAGGTGGAGGTGCTGGCGGTGAGGGAGGATGTGGTGGATGTGCTGGGAATCTGGAAAGGGAGCTACTCTCTGAAAGCCCTAGTGGCACCCTGGTTAACCTGTCTTACATTCTCCCATCAGAATGCACTTCTTTTGCAGCAACAGCAGAAGGGAACAGAAAGGAAGGAGCCAAGTACAAAATTCAAATCCTTAAACTTGTTAGTTGCCCACCTTCAGTACAATTTTTTAGAAGCCCCAAGGCATTTCCTTCCCTTTCTAACCACTCCCTAATTTCTGTTCTGTAGTAAAGTCCAGGCTTAACAAAAGAAGAAAAAGTATAAAGTTTAAGGGCTTTGAGAAAACACTTGCTAGCATCCCACCCCCACTCCCAATATTTGTTCTGATTTTTAAAAGTAACAGGAAGAAGATCATAGCTGTATTATTTTGAGTATAGATTTCACTGGATATATGTTTATTTCAATGGCATTGACATTTATGTGATTGAAAAAGCAATATATATTTATTAAGCTTGAAAATACATATGTCTGCTTCTTTTAATTTTAAAATGTGTATTTCAGGACTGTGGATAGCAAACGTTTTCTGTAAAGAGAGCAAATATAGTCAGCTTTGCAAGCCATGTTTTCTGCCCTTGTAGTACAAAAGCAGCCACAGACAACATATTATAAGTGAATGGGTGTGGCTGTGATCCAAACATTTTTCTTTATAATAACAGATGGTGAGAAACAAAAAGGAATGAAGTACTGATACATGCTACACCATAGATAAACCTCAAAAAAGGTATGGCAAATGAAGCTAGTTACCAATGATGATATATTATATGATCCTATTTATAGCATATAAAATGTCATGAACAGGCAATCTACAGAGACAGAAGATACAGTTGACCCTTGAGCAGTACGAGATTGAACTGCACAAGTCCACTGACATGGATTTTTTTTCAATAAATGTATTGAAAAATGTTTTGGAGATTTGAGATAATTTGAAAAAACTCACTGACAAACTGTGTAGCCTAGAAACATAAAAAAAATTAAGAAAAAGTTAGGTATGTCATGAAAGCCTAAAATATAAGATACTAGTCTGCATGTTAATTGACTATGTTATGGGTAAGGCTTCTCATCAACAGTAGGCTATTAGTAATTAAGCCTTTGGGGAGTCAAAAGTTAGATGTGGATTTTCTACTGTGAGGAGGGTTAGTACCTCTATTCCCCATGTTGTTCAAGGTCAACTGCAAATTAATGGTTGTCAGAAATTAGGAGAATTGGAGAACAGAAGTTTCTGCTAATGGCTACAAGGTTTCTTTCGGTATGATGAATATGTTGTAAAATGAGATTATGGCAATGATTGCACAGCTCTGTGAACATACCAAAAACCATTGCATTCTACATTTTTAAAAAGGTAAACATTTTGATATAAAAACTGTATCTCTATAAGGCTGTTTTTAAGAAGATAGTGGGCTGGATTTAGTCTGTGGGTTAAAGTTTGCTGACTCCTGCTGGAGAGTCATTTCTGAACTAGAATTACATACAATTTCATTTTGAGCATAATCTTTTCTATTTATTTTACTCTTTCTATCACTTTAAAAATATCCTCTGTTTAAATTCATCCCAAATTGCTCTTTCTCTGGTATGCATGTCCAGGGAAAAGGCTGCTCCTAGAGAAATGAGCCGAGGAGGCAGGCAGAGCTGGCCAGTCATCACTTAAGCTGCTACAGAGAACACATGGTTTATTCCTAGAGGCAAGAGAAATAAAGGCTACGATTAGGGTCAGTAGAGAAGAATTAAAATGCTGTGCTTTAGAATTTAGAATAAATTATTCTCAACTTCCGGATGGAAAGAAAAGAGGTCTGAGGATCTTGAGATGCTGGCACAAGCTCAGTTCAGACATGCTGAACATGGCCCCGACTACAGTGTTACCTTGCTTTACCTTCTCTCTCACACTGGACCCCTTGCCGTCCTGGAGAGCAGAGGCATCCTCTGAAACGATCACACATCTCCCCATTGCTGCAGCTGCACCTCAGCTTACAACCTGGTCCATAAAAACCAGGGGGGCATGCTGTAAACAAAGACATCAAAAAAACAGTATTAATACAGGGGAAGGGAGGAAACAGGCTGCAGGTGCCTAGTTTGATTTTTCTCTAAGCCATCAACTTTGCTGATTTGCGTAAGGTAGGGTAGAATTTACCTGAATTGCCAAGAACTTAAAAAGCTGGGGAGTTCTGCCTCCAAAAAAAGTTGAACGAGCTCCTATCAGGCCAACTTTTTTGTAGCTACAACTACGTTTAGAAAACAACTTCCTGAAGGCACTGAAGAGGATAGCAAGAAACAAAGACCTGGAAGATTCTGGAGAGGAAGTAAAATTTGGAAGATGGGAAAGATGTCTCTTTTTTCAGCTTTTAGCCTAACTGTTAGGTACAGTTGACAGCACGTATGGAAGCTAAGACTCCAAAGAAAACCTGTAGTCTTACTGGCCTGATGAATCAGAGGACAGAGTCAGGAGAACCACAGCCATTGGAAAGAGAGGGGAAAACCCAGAAAGAGAGTCAGAGAAAAGTCCCAGATCTTCGGCTGATCCTTGATCTGTGCATGCTCGGTACAGACTCAAAGCAGCCCAGCTAAAGAGAAAAGAACTAAACTGAGTTTGACCTGATTCCTAACAGTGAGAGAGCGGTTTGAATCCTACCAAGTTAATTCCCTGCTAAAACAAAACAAAATCAACATTCCTGAAAGATTATATCAGAT